GGATTGATTCTGTTCTTTCCGCTAGTGTCAGATTCGTTTTCGATCCAGGAATAGTAAGTCATGTATGCTAGGACTCGTTTAGTACACCTTTTGGAATTTGAGTGTTTGGAGAATATGATTTCTAAATTGTTACGTAGGCAAAGCAGTAAAAACGGAAATGTATATGACTTTTTTTTTCGAGAAGAATTTTACGCCATAGATTTTCTAACAGCGTAAATGAATTGTTACAGTTTTATACATGATCATACATTGGGAAATGATGAGTAACTATGCTAAAAGAATTTTATATATAAGAGGAAGAAAAATATTTTATCTGCGAGGAAGGCTTGTTACGTTACCTTCTGTTGCAGTATGTGCAGGTGCACACAAATGATAACTCGCATTAATTAATGGTACCACACAAAGTTTGAAACATGAAATCTAAGTACATTGTCATGACAGGCCGCCAGGGTCACACACTTAGGATTTCAGGAAAACGTATGATAAAATTATGTTAAGATATATTTAGCGGAATATGTATAGACACTGCGAAGTTTGGTTTGAAAATATGTACACAGAGTGCATGACCGCAAGCTCCAGTAATATACCAGTCGAATCCGCGTTTCAGCGAGTAGCATGGGTACATTTGGCCCGTTTTAAAGATTTAGGCAATCGGTATATACTAGTTTTCACCGACTACCTTACTAATTGGGTAGAAGCCTAAGGTTGCGATCCTTAGCATGGAGACACCGCTTTAGTGTACGTTATTTCAATAGATGAAATCGTTGCGCGGTTTGGATCTCCTTAAACGCTATTAAGAGGTCGTGGTTTTCATCCTCTCTAAATTAGTTAACGAAGTTTTTAGACTTCTAGTTGTAGGAAAATTTCATATTCCATCTATATCTGTCATGTAACAGGGCAGTTGGAAGAATGAATGTTTTTTTAGCTAGATCATTTTCAAACGTATAATTAGTTACAGTCGTTTTTAGGTAAAACTGTTCAGTTTATTCGTTTATACGCTTGCTTGTAAAATTTTCTATGATCAAAAGTTTCGTGGAAAATAAATTAGCAAAACAGGAAAAATGTCATTGCGATTCTCAGATTTTACTGCAAAATATTCTTTGTCACAACTTGTTCATTTCAGTCAAAAATAACGAAAATTTCGTTTTACAGCAAAACTTTTAGCTGTTGGGTTTCGCATTTTCATAAATGCTTTGACTTTGTGAACACAGGGATAGGGTACATTTCTCTTCAAACCATGGTAACTTTGCCTCGTATTACAACTAAAACTGTTTTCCGTACTGTTGAATATTTACCGTCTTGAACTTATCAGATTAACAAACGGTGTATTTCTGATCCATTTACGTGTAATGATTTAATCCTTATTTCATGCTTAAAATCTAAAATTGTTATGAATATGATGCACTTGCCAATTGCTTTTAACAACATGGTACTCTGATCTGTCCCGATTCTGTTACTCGTCGTTTGCAAGATGTTTCTTGACTTGGCTTACCTTGGTCTCCTGGTTCTTCAATGACTCTTTCTACGCTCACACTCAAAGTCTATGTGTGACGCCACTGATCACCTATACCACCTTGGAGGACTAGCTACTCCTATCCATAGACTGTTTCACTCAACAATCAGACTCGTTCACTATGATAAAGCACAGCCTCGTGAACCGCCTACCCCACCTCCAAATGATGAACTTATTCTCATTACTGAAACCTTTCCTGATTGTGGAGAAGAAAGAAACTCTGTACCTACACCGCCTGACGACACGAATTTCAACGATGCATGAAGACYCCTTACCACTTGAATTTCTACGATTTCACGAAGATAAAGCCTTGATTTCTACGACTCAYGAAGACYYGTTTAGACTTCAACGATTCACGAAGATCAAGACTTTTAGATAGACACGGAACSAWAAACGAACTTTGACAGTTTACTGTCAATTTTATGAACACTTTATCTTAACATATTTACTCATTTATCATATTCTTCTGGAATGGTTCTAACGTTTTTCCTTTCTAGTATTGCTTCCTTCTCAGGTTGACGTTAAGAAGTTCTAGAAGATTATCTTGGTATTTACGGTATTGGTATTATGTAATCAATTTATTCACGTTTAGGGTTTTTCTCGGATTTATCTCATTATTTCGGTGTTGGGAACAAAATATTTACAAAAAGTACAAAAATTTTCAAAAAGTAACTTACAAAAAAAATTAACTACAGTATTTACTCAATTTTACGCTGAGAAACGGTTTCTCTTTTTCGAATTTTCAATTCACATTGATTGCTTGAAATTGATTACCTATTCCAGTTACTTCTATTTATTCAAAACATTTACTCGTATTTTCACGGTAACTCTGTATTTAGAGTTTCCACTTATTTAATCGCATTTATTCTTAAGGGTTTACGGTGAAGCAAAATATCTTTAGAACTACTTGGATCTTTTTATACCTTCAATACTTCTCGCAGGAGCTCGAACTTTAAAAGAGAGGGTATTGTAGCGAGGCTATTTCTAGTTATCTCATATTTCGACTCAAGTGAACTATGATTATACTAGTTGTCATAACAACAACAATTTCGAGTAAGAACTTAATTACTATTTCAATGGTACGTTATCTGTTGACATTCTGCAACACCTCTGTCCAACACTCGTAATTGAATACTATTTGTACAGGATGAGAAATCTTACTCTGTATTTCAGCTGTCGTCAAAAAAAACAGTTTTTGACCAGTGATTAACGCATGAGCAGTAGAACTTTTATATCTGGAATATCTAATAAGCGTCACCAATTAAGTTTTGTTTGACTACGAACTTTGAGTCAGAATTTATCTATCTTTTACTGAATAAGACTTATATTCTTATTACTCAGTTTGTGTAAAAATCACTACTTAAGTCTTTGTCATCGACGCTTTGTCAGTTAATCAGGTTAACAAATAGTTTCTTTTGAACAAGAGTTCACGAGTCAATAAGTCACATCATGATCAGATAATGAATATTCACCATTATCATGACGTCATCTAGAATAACCAGTTTAGCAAGTTTGGTCATATAAATAGAGCTACCTCTAACTCGAAAGGCCATATTCGATCCTGACATTCGATTCGATTCAATTCGATTCCATCCAATTCCATTATTAGAAGAACACATTATACTCAGAAGGATGTAGTTGTACACTATTCTGTTCTACAATCTATACACAATGTGAAACACACTTGTATACTTGTAACTTGAGTCTAATAACGACGAATAAAGATCCCCGGTACGTTCTACCATTTGGTCTATCTGGTTAGCAACCCTAGCCTCATTACATTTGGTGGAGATACCCGAGCAGATTCCAGGAAGGTTAGTGACCAACGTTGTTATTGCATGTGTAAGTGCATCAGTCCTTTTTCTTTTTCCACTTTTTCGTTCCTCATTTGTGATTCGGACAGTTTTTCATTCATGTTTTGCTTATAACTTTACGTGTTTACTCTGCTTTTTGTTTTATTGTGGAATTGTACATTTCTTTGTGTTCATAAGTGGGGTCCCTAATCCCTTTTGTAGCAAAAGATTCTTATTGTTACCCTTGAATTTCGTGAATTTGTTTGCTGAACGATTTCACCGTGTATCTGAGATCTGGAAAAAGTGTTAGTTCTAAAACTGAACCTTGTGAGAACTCATTTCATAAGGAACCGGAAAAACACGAAAAGTCGAATTCAGTAAAAATGGCTGAACTAGCTGAGCAAATCACTACCGCTAATCAGGAGTTGATTAAGGCTTTCCAARACTCTTTTGAGAAACTACAGGGTTCTCTTAAGGAACAATCAGATAAGAACGTAGGCGAATTGGCAACCGTTAACGCTAATCTAAGAGAATCAATGAAGAAAACTAACTCAAATCAGAAAAGTGCGTCGGCTTTAGGGCGTAGTCCCGTGTTCTCGGGAAATGAATCAGAAGCACAAGAATTCTTAGACCAGTTTAATGCTTTTGCTGATTTTCACGGATGGGATGACAAACAAAAGACCACTGCTTTTAGCTTAAGTTTAACTGACTCAGCAAGGACTTGGTATTTTACCTTAGAAGCAACATTTAAGGACTTTGCAGGACTAACAGAGTTATTTAAAAAGCGTTTTCTTTCTCAAAGCGATGATTTCGTTTTAAGACAGGAGTTAACTTCGCGAAAGCAAAAGCCCACTGAAAGCGTAGCAGAATATAGCGCCGACATTTTAAAACGTTGTCAGCGACTAGGAATACCAAGGAAAGAGTATTTGCACATTTTTATTAATGGGTTACTCCCTGACTTGAGAAATTTTGCGATTCTTTCTCAACCTAAGACTTTTGAGGATGCCGTGGCAGCAGCAAAAGTAAGATCGACTATTCAACCAGCCACAGTATCGAGTATTAGCTCTCAGGATATGCAGAATTTCAGAGAAGAAATGTTAAGCGCACTTTCTAAAGTAAATACACAAAAGCCTATGCAAATAGCAGCTTTTGAACAAAGGCCGGACAAAGCTAACAACTCGTTAACAGAAGATCANCTTCCATCTTTTTTCAGTTATAAGCATTTTTAACAACTTCATTTGGTGTACAACTGACTGATGCCAACAAAAGACGTAGTGCTCAAACATTATCGAGCGGAATCTCGCCTTTTTGATACTAGACAATAATAAAAAACTTACGAGGCTGACACAAAAGAATTTTATAATCAAAATAAGAAACAAAGGAAAACAAATCTATAATGAATAAAATCACAAAAAACATCTGCTATTCGTTGATGGCTTTATCATAAGCAAAAATGATGCAATTCAACCTTGATTTTGTGTGATTTACTAAAAGCTAATAAGTCAGTTTTTTTACTATGTCATATCATCAGAGATATACTAGATGAAAATCTCGATAGCGTCTATTGTTCTGAAGTAATTCAATTATATCCCCCATCAGTATATCTTTCTTTCAAATGACATACATCCTACATGCTATTTATTTAATGAAGAAAAATCATTTCCGATTTGTGTGCTTTTGTGGCAACGTTTTGCTTAAATAGGACGCCGTAACTTTGGCAATACCACATCAGATCACAAAGATTTAGAACAGAGAGAAGAGTTTGTTAGCTTTACGTTACATTGATTGATCGAAAATGTACCGAGTTTTTTTCTGTACCGCTGCAATAGTTTTATGCATGGTTGCCCTTTCAATGGGAAAAACTATTGAAAAAGGTGGAGCTCAAGGTAAGAAATCATTTTTCACTTCAAAGAGTATTGAAGGAGCCATGTAGGTCCTCATTTTCAATCACCAGACAGTATTGAAAAATTGTYTTATAGACTTTCTTCTTGGCTTTTTATCTATAACAAATATGGAATTTTAAAAGTATATGTGATGTATTGTCCTTGTTTTATGAATCTGGTCTAATTTTTAGTGTTACAAATGATATTATTGAATAGAATCATATAAGTAAATGATTAGAAAGTAACTTCACATCTACTGTTGAAAGCTAGAGGTTTTTAATATATCAAACTAGAATAAAAAAGAGCTTTTTTCAAAACATGTTTTATCTCAAATATGCCACCCACAGCAAGAGGAAGTGCATTAAACTTATGACAGAAATTAGTCGTTTAAATGAAATACATTATAATCTAGATTACCTGACATTCTTAAAAACATTTTGAAGCCCAAGATTATGAAAAAGTAGATGAAAATAAAGTGAAAAAATACTAGACTGACGGAAACAAAGTCCTTCTCTGTTGACAAACTTTATTAGCTTATTATCGTTACAGTTAAGAAATGTARCTAATCGCGATTTATGAGTGAACCAATTTCACATCTAGTCAGTCAAAACATAGGCGTTAAAGTAAAGTGCCTTTAATTTAATCTTATTGTCAAAAATCAAATAAAACGCCCAATTCCGTCAAGTAACAGACATCTGCTTGCTTTACGTAAATAAAAGAGCGGGACTAATAAAGCGTTTGATCCAAGCCGTTTACCGGAAAATCTATTTTATTAGCTTGTTATATACAATAACTTGCCCAACGCGTCAGTGCTTTTCAGCTTATTATTTTTTCTCGCCTACGTTACCGTCTCCTGCTGACTTGTATTGGGTTATTTACATTGGTTGCTGAATGGCCATAAATACAATACATAAGGTGTGAAATGATACTTAAAATCTTTACAGTATATGTATTTTTCTACATCCTATCTTCACAGGCCATAATATAAAGTGCCGACATAGACGCCATTTGTATCAAAGCATGATGGGAGATCTGCTCTTCGATCCCTTTGTATTATTTCCGTTTAACTATTCCCAAAGCTAAAACTACATATTGCGGGGCTTTCTGTGTATGTTCCCTTGAAACTATTCATTCAATTTTTGTAAACAAGCATGAACAGAATTTTGCGGAATACTTTTTACGACATTAAAAGGAATGGGACTACAAACCCCGCATGCTTTTTTGAAGAAGATGGCGTCAATCGCATTCCTTATACAAAGGGCGCATAGGGTATGTCCACCTCGGAAGAAGCCGACGAATTTTCCTACATCCAGTTATTTCTCAAATCCACCTTTGTACGATTGAGTTATTTATAATAGAAGATATCGAAAAGTTTATATTACACTAAAAAGGTTGAAAATGACCGAATATACTGACCCGGCCCCTGTCAAACGTTGGTAAATGACAAACCGTGAGTTGTGAGGACCCACCAAGTTAACAGCGGCCAGGAATTCATTGAGATAAAATACCTGTCTATCAGTTGCGCTGTATTCTAGTGTTATTGTCAATCGCACTAGCGTGAAGGCTGCTGACATGACGTAAACGAGGCTTTTCAGAAATTGCTGTATTTGCTTATTTTATTTTACAGCTCGCTCTGCCAGTAGACGACAGCTAGGTGGCATCCTTCCACCATCGTCTTGTTCAAGCAACTATGAGTGTGATTACCCAAAAATATGCCATCCAGAATTCGGCATCTGCTACTCGGCTATGCAAGGTAATGCAAGTTCCATGTGTTCTCAATTCGAAACTTATAGAAAGCATGGTCGTTCAACTACGCATAAGTGTAGAAAAAATGGCTTTGGGGATTAATCAAAAGAAAAATTAATTTATTCAAATAAGATAAACAAAAGTTTCTTAATTTCGGATTGCTATTTTGTATTTAATTAAGCTTATCTCTGTGTTATGCTTGTTGTTTTATGTCGATATTTTATACCCTTGTCATTTCTTTTCTCTTCTGCTTCTGCTGATATCGTGATGAGATTATTGTGGGATTTGAGCTGTGCCATGCACCAAATCAAAATTAATTCAAAACCACCTTTTTAAAAAAAGCTATACTCTCTATTACCTCTGTATACGTCCTCCTCCATCTATCTACCTATACATCAACTCTATCCTTTTCAAACTCAATCTTTTTAGATCCTTCGCTCAAAAAACGTCATGGTGGAATGCTACCACCAACATCCTGCTCAAGTGACTATGAATGCGACGGGTATCAAGAAATATGCCATCCTAAATATGGGTTCTGCTATCGAGAATAGAGCAGAAAACTGTAGATCTGTAAGTAACGATAAAGCGCAACGTATTCCAGACTAAAGCCGACCATTCCCTACCCCAGACAGAAAGTCAAAAAAAGAATTACCCTACCCGTGACAAAAGCCCTAGAACCGTACCCTATAGAGCGGCTTATGCCCGTAAAGCAAATATAGGGGCAGTTTATGCAATATCACTGAATCATCTTTTGCTACATTTGATTTCAGGAAATCGAAGTTTAAATATTGTAAGCGAACCTCTAGGTGATTATATTCATGTAAACTAAATAATGTAAAGAAAGCAAAATGCCATGTTGTATGGAAGTTCTGTACTGACGCTAGACTGAACTGGTTTTCCTACTAGTTTGTATGCAAATAATTCTACCTCTACCAGTGTATTTTTGAGAAACACAATGCTCAAACTAGAATTGTGAAAGTGTACTATTTAAAGAAAAATAAAACTGATCTCTTACTACGAGAATTTAATTATTAGCCGAGATTTTCATCTTGCAGAATGAAACACGCCAACTAAAATTAAAAGGATGGTTTAAGGGGGGCACGAGTAAACGCTCTGCGAGCGCCAATTAACAAATGAAACCCATACAAAATGTTTACATGTAAAGTGTGATAAGTAGTAAATTAGTTTGATGCAAAACACAAACAAATTTTGATTTTAATATTAATTGTATCATAGCCTTACAATTTCAATTCAAATTTCAAGAAAGACTAAAAAACATAAAATAAGAGCAAAATAACAATTAATAAAATAATGTTTTTGTTCCAATTAAGACATGAGAGCAAAGAAACACGATAAAAATGGCAAAGAAATATAAATATCTACAAAATAATAAACATTGATTTATACAAAAAATATTACATTCATTCATGATGCGCTCGCTGGGCTTTCTGGGAGATTTATGGTCACCATAGCAACGTTTGTTGCTAATCGTGTCACACATTCCTGAAGACATTCTAAAGTTGTGCGGAACTGATTCTTCGAATAGTAAACATCAAAACCTTCCTGTTTTACCCTCCAAAACAGGACAACTAACTCTTCAAAATGGTGCGAGAGTTGAATATGGATACACAGAGGCAGAATTTCTGGAAGGAATCGATAAACAAAGAAGCAATGGTCAGACTTGCTTGGCACAATCGATACTCAAAAGAGTTCGCTCGCTCGACGTTTGTTGCTAAACCACGGCAGCAAGGACTGACAATCCAATCTCCAGGAACCCACAAAGTTTCTGACACGAAAAAAGGAACTAAAGGCCTCCAAGCCTCGACTAAAGAGAAGTTTGAAGAAGCAGCGAAGAAAAATCCCGAAGCGCTTCTTGTTGAAATGCGACCCGTCTCTACGAATACAAAAGCATTACTCTACAAGGGATTCAGCGCACTCGGCGAGGGACGCTACCAGTATCTACAACAAAGAAAACTTAAGAAACCCGAAGACAAATATGAATTTCCCATCACAAGCGCTTGGGAAGTTGGCTGGAAAATCAATGAATATGTCCCAAACCTTCGTGGCGAGCAATTCGGCAGAACGAAGGTCATTCGCGACTCTTTCTACAGACCCAATGGTATTTTCTACCACTAAATACAGCAAAAGTACTTCTTATCTCAGCAAGGAAACTCTGTTCTCTACAAATGAGCGAACAATTAGTATGCCTGGTTGTAATGTGGATTTAAACGCGAGTATGTTTATGCTAAGTATTACCATGATTAGCGCCCTGTGTGACAATTTCGACAAGACGGCTTAGCAGGAGACATGGCTTGTTTACAACTTTTATTATTGATAATTTTATAGCAAGAAAGTGTTGCATATTAAAAACCATAACTTTTGTTGTTATGGTTACTTCTAAATCAGAGTCAATAACACATGGAACATTATTCAGACACCGTGAAGATAAGTTTGGCTTGAAGTCTTCCGTTCTAGCGTTCTGTGCATGACATCTATCAATCCGTAATCTACTTTGCCAAGAMTTAATATTTTCCTACAGAATACGTTTTGAAAAGATTGAGCAGAAAGCTAAGATCGACGGATTCCTTGGCAAACTTGTGTTGACAAACTTTTATGAATTATAAAACAATTGCCATCAATAAATGAAAATCCTTTCAAACAATAGAACCTTTTATGCTTTTGTTTCAAAACCAGGTGTAATTGAACTTTTTTTTTCTCGATACATTATAATTATTCGCTCTGGCGTCTGCTGTTCTCTACAGAGCTTTATAACATGTTATAAAGTGCTCTTTTAAAGTGCTCAAGTAAATAGAACTGTACGAAACACGTAGTCTATCCTGCGAGAAGAGTCTTGCCTAAATGAGTTTTAAGGACTTTGTACACGAAAATCAGTAGAGAGGGACAAATGTCCATCGTACTTCGAGGCTGCGTTTCGCGTCTGGTATTGAAACAGAGAAGCAACTTTTTTGCCACGTTTACGGCAAAGGCAAAATGACCACCCTATCTATATAGGTCCGTTTATACTGTGCAGTTTTCTCAACTTGTCTTGTAACTCCGTCAAAAAACTAGGCAAGAATTTTAATTCTTAAAAGAAGGCGGAATGAGAAACTAATTTTCAGATAAATGAAAGAAAGATTTTCGCAGCGCTATCGGTTTGTCTTCTTGAGTTTTGAGCATTTTGTGAAGCCAAGAGTGTGCCAAAAATAGAGCATACAAACTCAAAACCGTACGCAATTTGTTGAATTTATTGATAAAATATGCAGTTATTGAACTGCTGGTTGTCGTATTTTGCGCGTTTAATTTAATTTTGCACTATCACATTTTAGTACAATACAAACTATTCTGGTAACAAGAGCATGTTGTGTTGTTGACATCCTCTGGAACCCAGACGTAATCTTTGTGAACGAGCGACGCGAGAACATTACTCCTGAGTTTCGAGGATGGTTGCAAACCATTCCAAACAAATTTGAATATTCCCATAATACACCAATACTCCGTTGTACAGTTGCCAGGACATATTGAAAGGTATTTGATCGAGAAAAGAGTTGAACCTGCAGAGAAAGATTTTCGTTCACATCTAAGACAATTATTTTTTTTCGGTCAGGTATCCTAGTCATTCGCGCGCTGTAATTGGCTAGCGCACGTTCCGGTTTTTCACGATCTGCCCGATCCGACGGTATCCTGCAGCGAGTAATGTTGCATAAAATACAAATAAAAAAAAATAAAAATGTTGTTTACCGGCTAGCTATAGGTCGGTCCGTATAGGAAAACACTGCCCTCGGTCTTTTATGTACCGACCTCGCTGCGCTCGTTCCGTACTGTCAAGACCTCGGGCAGTGTTTTTCTGTACGGACCTATCAGCCGGTAAATAACATGTATCTATTTAAAAAAACAAAACAAAAACAAAAAAGACAACTATTCACAGGTATCGGAAACCTTTCAAGATGTCTCTAGGAAATGTAAAATGGAGTATGTCTGTCAAGAGAATGCAAACAACAAATGAAAAGAACGGATAAAAATTGCTCAAACTAGGAAATATATAAAGGTTTGGCTGTATAAACCACAAGGCGAATTCCGGTTGTACGAAAATATAATAAAATAAAATAAATCCTTATTATAGCGGGATTCCTGTGTGGTATGCAACAGCAGGCTCTTCTTACGAGAATGACAAAGCTTGCTTGCTGCACAAGCTGCAGTATTAGGAATTTAAATTGTGAATTTCGTCTCAATTCTTGCCCGAGTCTTCTTTTAGGGGCAGAGTTCGATTGAAAACAAGCTGCAAAAAGGAAACAAAACAGTAAAAATTAATTCCATGTACATTTATAAAGAAGAAACTATCTTAAGGCCACAAGAATTCAATGCGGCCGTGTTTTTTCATATATGGAGAAATATCCATTCGCAATCCGCGTCCATCAAACATAAGTAAAAGCGCGAAAGGAATGCTGGTGGACCRTAGCCCTTTAAAACCTTCGCKCATTTGTTTTTGTACAATACCTTATTTTTKGACGTATCCTGATCCACGCAGAAATACCCCAAACGYTCAAACTGATATTTGGTATAAACTTTGGCTCCTTTGGCCGTTACGTCGACYAAGGCATCGGAGATCACAGTTAGAGAATCCTGTAAAGAATGGTGAGAAATTWAAAAAAAATCAATTTTAAAGCCACATATCTATATTAAATATGACATCACAGAGATGATGTGACGTCATATTCAATATTATTCCGTCAGCATGTTAATAATTAAGCAATAAATAATAGACTAAATTAAATTACGTCACATTAAGACAAAGTAACACAATTCGTGACGTCAGTTAAACGGTTCTAAGATGTCAAAACATGACGCAGATTTCAAGTCATACCTTTTTACAATCAGTGATGAATCCACCGGGGACCTCCTCGGGATCTTCAGGGAACTTGTGATGAAATCTGTACACGAGTCAAGGGAAACATGGCATTACTATTTAGGAACATTAGACGACGAATATGGTCAGTCATATTTTCCTGTGTCAGTACAATTTCCATTGAGAGAAGATTCAAAAGTTGCGGAGAGTGTTTCTCTTCAATTCTTTTAGGGTAGATCGAGATGAAATTGACTATAATCATATGCCAGAGAGTCAGTTTTCAAGTTACGWACTTTGACGTGAGGGAGAGAATGGAAGAGAATCGCCTCTCAAAAKATTCAGCTACACAAACTACACTCGGTGTGACGGATCATCATGATGAGACAATTGGAAAGAATTTCGTGATTGAGAAAGCAGTGCAAAAAGAATAAAAAAAAGGACTTTCAGTAGTATAAGTCCAATAAAACCGCAGACATCGATTGGTACTGGATTACTCAGTCAGGAAAAAAGTATCTATCAGTGTAATTTCAAAACCCGAATGCGAGAATGTACTAACCACAATAGCAAGGCAAAAGTATGGAGAAATAAGGACTGACACCCCTCCCCTCGAACTATTATGAAGGCTAACACACTGTATTGATGCAGTACTTACAGCCTGTCGTACAGACGAACTTCACAGGTGATTGGTAAAGAAACCCAGTGGATGAAGGCTTTTGGTTTTCCTGTCGATGTAGCTGATTCGCACGTGACCTCCACTTCTGTAACGTCACCATTAGAATTCTAAGAAAATAATACAGASGGTTAAAAGACGGCTTGAAATKACAAATGAMSATTCATGTTCCATTTCAGTCAAGAATGATATGCTTAGACTTGAAACGTTGGCGCAAATGTACAGGCTCAAAAGGAAAATACAGGTACACCACTTAGGCACAGAAGTCCATAGAGGCGCACAAGAGAGCATTGAGGCACGTAGAGGGTCAGTAAGTCACACAGAAGAGCATCGAGGCGCATAGAGGGTCAAAAAGGCACACAGAAGAGCATAGAGGGTCATAGAGAATCAGAAAGGCACACAGAAAGRACATCAAGTCACAAAGGGCCATAAAGGGACACAGGGGGAATAGAAGAACATAAATGAACGTAGGCACATAAAGAGCATAGAATGGCATAGCGGTTCAACGCTACCTTACCTTTATTACTTTTTCAGTTTTGATAACGTAACCAGCGTGGCGTAGACCGACTGTCTGGTTCGATGTCAACCGTCTAAAATCTTTCTCACCAACCTTACGATGAAATTGAATATAATTGAAACAATTCTAATAGATATAATTAAACCATTGCAACAAACGCTAAATGAAATGTACTACAAAAGGTACTAAAGTTGTTGTTGTTGTTTTTAAATAGAAAGTAAGCTAAATAACTAAATCAATACGAAAACATAGAGCGCTCAGCTCGYAATCTTAATACTGTAGTGGAATGGGCTTTCAAGGTTAGTATATACTAGACTTTCAAAAAAGCAAGTCAGAGAGAAACGGCGATTGGGGGACCGAAAATCATAGTGAATATTCGAGTATGGATGTATAATATTCACTCATCTCSAGAAAAAACATGGACGAACCAAACAAACCATAATTTAAGATATTTCTTTAAAGAAACGACCCGTATCGAGTCTCTTTGATGAGCTAATTACCATAAATAATCAATTCCCAAAGTAACTTTCGGTCGTGTATTCGCCGTTTTCCCCCGACAACCTTTTTACTGTATACAATACAATAAAAACATCCAAGTCATACCTCTTTGAAGTCGTTTCTTTCGATGTATATCACCCTGTCAAAGGGTACTTTATGGGATCCTTTGCTGGGGTCCTGAGGAATGTTGGGAACKTCGACTTCTATTGGCTGGAATGACAAAAAAAGTTGTGTTTGAGCAACAAACTAGWATGATATTGGCGATGACTATCTGATATAATACAGTCAGAATAAATCAAACAATTATAATATTCATTATAAAGCCAAATAATAAGGCGCACCTCCAATATAGGCCCTTCAATAAGCKCTCGCGACTTTTAAAATATACAACAAATAATGTAAACTTTGTCGGACTTACTTTRTCCGATGGGAAGTTTTTGATGATGACCTTCAMRGGTTCCAATACTGCCATAAYCCTGAATYAAAGATATTAATACTATAAAAGTTTGTTCTATCTATAAGAGTGTACTGTTTTATTCATAAAAGTAACCGTTTTCCATTTCAAAATAAAGTATGTTGTTTTATTTCTATTTTCATGTTTCATCTGTAATATTATTTTGTTTTTGTCTTATGCTTTAGCTGTTTTTGTTGTTGTTCTTTGTTTGTTTATTTGCCTTGTTTTGTTATAATTTCTTACTTTAATTTACCCAATTCCTGTTTTCTGTTTGTTTCGTTTGTTTCGCCGTTTTTCTCATTGATTATATTTTCTTTTTTCTGTCCATTTTCATTTCGTTTCGTCTTAGTTTACTGTATTCGGATTGCATTTCTATACCTTGTAGCAGTTACGTTAAGCTCATCTCTTACACAAGCTTCCAACATCTGCGGTTCAATCATTGTCTGGGCCATCGTCACACCCACCTAATGATATAAAACATGTCAAATACCCCATTAAACAGTTCCCTGCGCCATCTTGAAAGGTAACCAAGCCTTTGCATTAAACCGAGGCAGTAGCTGACCATGCAATGATGGATACAAAGGAATGATTGTCTTAGGTGTGATCAAAAGGTATCTATCACTGCAGGCTCAGATCCTGTCTCGCTTCAATGCAAAGGCTTCGCTGCCTTACAAGATGGCGCTGAAAACAGTAAAAAGGAGAATTCTTGATTCTAGCAAGTAATGTGTACAGTGAGAAGGCTGAATATAWATTCAGTTTACCTTACTACAAAAGTTATTAATGGCTTCAGGAGGAAAACCCCGTCTTCTGAGAGCAGTGAGGGTGAACAGTCTTGGATCATCCCAGTCYCTGAAGCAAAATCATCAAAGTAAGCATAACACGAATAGAAAAGCTCACTAATCAAAGCGATCATACCTAACAATGCCTTCCTTGATCAGTTTACCGATTTTACGCTTAGAAACAACAGTGTAGCCTAGATTGAGCCTTCCATATTCCCACTGAACAGGGCAGTAGATGTCAAGGGAATTGCACAGCCAGTAGTACGATGATCGTCTATAAAATACAAGAAAAAACAACCATGATGCTAAACCAGACTGAAATTTCGGTAAATATGGGAGCTCCAACTTTCAATCTCGCATCAATAAAACGTGGACCTTGACCGACTGATTTTCTGCGAAGTATGTTGGCACTTTAAATGTAATAGTAACGACATTTGTTAATGCAAAATTCATTCATACACATTCTACCTAAACATAAATATTGACTGGCACGTGATAGCCCTAACGGTGGTAGTTTCAASACTTTATACCTGGACTGGAATTCCTTGGTGCACAGTGAGTGCGTGATATCCTCAAGAGAGTCACACAAACAGTGAGTGAAATCATACGTGGGATAAATGCACCTRAAAGAACACAGACTATTAGAACAGGGAAAAGGATAAGGAAATAAAATTGTTCTTGTTTTGTAACGCTGGGTAACGTTGTCCACTCAAACAACAAACCCAGTCCCCGCCCTGATAACTAGTTCCCATTCATCGGCTCGTTTCCGTTTCGGAGAATAGGGCAATATTACCATATATGGCTGCTAAATAACAACAACATTTTAAAATCCATTTACGTGTTTTCGTATCTTTCCTTGGGACAAAAACCAAAGAAGTTACCCCTAATGTATGTAGGGGTATACTATACTACCCTGTTTTGTTACAGATAAAAAGAATTTCGACGTGTCCACCTATCCAGAGCATTTGTCAGGCACATCTACTGTGAATAACCTTTAAAAKTTTCCGCCATCGTGCAAATGTGGCCTGAAAGAGGGAGCTCTAGACAGATATAACGACTTTGCTTTCTAAACAAGAGTTTTCCGGACTATGGACGTTATGCACCTTCTTCCCTGAGAAGAGAATGAAGCCATTACATACCATTGGTCTTTTGTTCTATGATGTGGTGTAAATTTGATGCGGTACGCTACAGGGTCAGCCTTGCCRTCCTCCAGTGTTGTCTTCATTCTAAGAGTGGCCTGAAGAAGACAATGAATTCCTATCATAACATACATGGACATAAAAATCTGGTCGTTACGACGAGGTGGTCTTATTATCAATAAACACAAAGTGCGGGGTTCCACTGTACATCAAAAATTCGAAGATTCAGGGCGAAAAAGTGTGAGAAGGGGCTAAATTAGAAGAAGATAGTGATAATGASGAGAAATAAAGGAAAAAGGGCGTCATCATAATTGTATTGAACGTCGGTTGACCGTTGCAGTAACTTACCTGTCCTTCTTCGATCTTTCCTTTCTTCATATCCTGAAAATTGCACAACAATAATTATAAGTGGAAATTGGTATGAAATTACCCAAAAATAAAATCCGTTACCAGACCTCTGCTCTTTCCACAGCCAGCCCGAAGAAAACAAAACTAAAAGACTTAAACAGATATTGCTTTTAGAAKGCTGTCACTTACCTCAAATAACGTTAGAGATTCCTCTATTGGACGATCTCTCCATGGACTAGGTGGTGGATTAAAACCTTTGATCTCTTCAAACTGCTGATGGCAGACATATGCTAGATCCCTACACGTAGGAATACACAAAGTAAGTTCATTCAACAAAAATACTGCAAGCCCATGCATACTGGTAAGTACATTCCAAACAAATACATGAAAGAACTGAAAGAGGAGACTGGGAAGTGGTCTTACACAACTTTAAGTCACATAAGTAGCTAAAGTAGGAGTATGCTAGAGAAAGGGTGAATCCAATGTAGAGCAAAGGGACACTGGAGCTCCCACTCTAGGCACAAAATGTTGACATTTTTTTCATTATTTTAAATGCTGTTTCTAACAAATGAATCGCCAATGAACCGCCTTACAGAATTTACATGCCATGGGAAAATTTACCTTTTGATGAGTTCAACCGCATACTCATACAGCTGCTGAAAGTTATCAGAAGCATGAGTGATCTTCCAAGGTTTGAATCCTAATAAAAAAAAAAATACACTTAGTCTTTTTTCCCATTGGAAAGTTTAACTGGTGAAATACAGTATCACAGAGTCATAATGGAGGGAAATCCAGCTCTAGTTAGACTAATAATTATGTCAACTGATCTACACTATCAACAAATATTTACGTTACTTACCTAACCACTGCACCATGTCAAGAATACCTCTAAAGAATCGTTCTTCTTCCTTCTCAGGGTTTGTGTCATCATATCTTAGATAGCACACTCCATTGTGGGCCTTCAAATTACAAACCCAACATAAAATAATCAAAGCTAATTAAACAAAGGAGAAGTTGAATTGAGGGCATTTTGCTATGATAGTTTCATATTGGAGAAACTGGATGTTCCTCAAAGTTTCATACTCATCTAGTCAAAGAAATTTAAACTGCCTATCTATTTTATTATCCAGAAACAAATTAGAATACCCTTCTGTGCTGGGCACCATCGTGTCACGTTGTCTACTCTATACACCAATGGGAGCGAAGGGAAATTTCTTGCTCAATTATAATGAATAATAGCTATCAAAATAGCTCTTCAGAATAAAATTAAATTTTGTTATCACACCAAAGTTAGAGACATAGATTTGGAGCAAATCTACTTTCAATAAATCACACAAATATTCATCAACATAGTTCACTGCTTTGTAAAGTTGACAGTACTTGCATAAGTAAGAATTTTATGGTTAGTTGGGCCTTGAGAGTGTTAACTACTTGTGACCAACACAAAACTACATTGAATCGTTGTGTAAAAAGATAAATTTAACACAGTAAAAAAGTATGTGAAATAACTTATGGATGTTAATCCTTCGTCGGAGTAAAGAGCTCTGTAGTAAAGAGCTCCGACGAAGGATTAACGTCCGAAACGTCAGTAAGTTATTTCACAAAAATTTTTTTATGGTGTTAAATTTATCTTTTTACACAACTGTTTCTTTAGAAACACCGACGCAGCTCACACTAGTTTACCACTAGTTCCCACCATTTTACATTGAATCGTACAGATTGCTCACCTTGGCATACCCAAAGCTGACATTGATGGCTTTAGCATGTCCTATGTGTAAAATACCATTAGGTTCTGGTGGAAATCTTGTCTGAATCTAAACAGTACAAAAGACACACAAACATGGATGAACAATCACAAGATTCACCAGTATACACTACATTATTATGAACTTCAATAAAATACAAGGTACATGTAATTTCTCATGCAAAGAAGTGATATCTTCACATGGTTAAGATGTTATCTCTGTTGTGAATGGGCACTTGGAATCACTTCCATATACCAGCACATATTTTATATTCTCATGTTTAATTCTTTATAACTTCACTTGTTCCTTCACTCACTTAAGACATATCAATCAATCAATCAATCAATCATACACTCAAAGATAAAACACATATCTCTGCACACCCATGTAATATTATCTTTATACAATTTACAGCTTTTTCAGAAAACGTTGAATATTGAATACTGAATAATGGCACTGCATGCATAGTGCATTCCAAGACCCAATGCATTGTTGTTATTATTTTCCTCATTAGCTCCTAACTAAAATCATAAATAAATTTAATTGAGTGTAACAAGCCTGAAACCACAAAAACTTCTTTTGAACGGCAATAGAATGACCAACAATGCTTTTCAGTCTTGAAAATGGATGGATAGTTTATTTAAAATACATTTTTTTACAAAGGCAGTCGAAGACTGAAATGTGTATCTTTAAATTTACATAAATTAAAATCTTGGAGTACGGTATCTTCAGTATTCAACCTTTTTAGCTGTACATGACTTTTGTATGAAAAATTCAATGAAAAAGTAAGTAAACAAATCCAGTGTATGCCATGCTCTAATCACCGTCTTATCAGTTTATATCACAATTTTTTTATTGGATTACTAGTTGTACTTAACTATAATATTGCACTTACTCTCCCAGCAGTCCTGTTGAGATGTTCTTCCATCAGCTTCATAGTTTTAGGAGTGACAACGTACCCTGGAGTTTTATAGTTTTCACCGGGTTTGTGGAATTTTGCAAACTCTCCTGTAAGACCTCCATCTTCACTGCAGTCACCATTAACAACTGAAAGACACAATCAACAATTTCAGGAAATACAGTGATATCACAGACATGTGGAGACCTATGTAATCATAAGTTTTATTGAAGTTTCTAACAAGAAAGAACAAGTACAGTACAGTATAACTAAATCAATTATTATTGTCTTCAGACATTTGGTTTATAGCACTCAAAATTTTCACCTGTAGAYGTTTTCTTGTCAGTTGTTGTTGTTCCTTTCTTTTTGCCTCCTTTGCCTTGCTTTGCA